TCTTTGTCATTTTGTATACCACTGTCTTCTGACCTTTGGTGTAGAGCTTAGAGTTATTACCTTAGCACCAGGTCCGGATCTACAAAGTTCAGATTCCTCCAGGTGAGTGTTGTTTGGATCTGGCTGCTGTGCTCCACTTCTTTCTGCTGCAGCTGTTAGAGTTGAGCCCTTTGTGTCTCTCTGGCAAGATGTTCTGCTCCTGAATCAGCTGGGTGGTTCTTGTCTCTAGCCTCTTTGCAGGGAGTTTTGCTGAAGGGTTCCATGCTGGGCCTGCACTCTGGGTCGAATGAGGATCCGTGGGCCCCGAGCGAGCGGCCTCACTCACACACTGGGCCTGCACTCCTGGTCTATTCAGGATCCCGGGGGCCTGGGGTTGTCTCACTCACTCGCTGGGCCTGGGCTCTGGGTCTATCTCAACAACTTGCCCTCCTCATATATTCATGTTTTATTTTTAGTTCAGCTCAATGAAACCAGGTTAAAGACTAGTCAATAATCCTAAAATAAGCTACCTTTATTGCTGTTTTACTAGCACTATAGCTGTCACACTTCCATGCTTATAGTAAATAAAGTGTTTTTGCTGAGTTGTACCCTCAGCTTTTTCAACATTAGGAACACTTTTACTCCCATTATTTTATAAAAAGCCTTCAAACCATCTTAATTTATCACTTTCATCTAAAAATCATAAAAGTTATATGGTAGAATAGGAGTTGTCAACCAGAGGATCTCCCTCTACTTCAGTGTGGTATTAGAAGACATCACTTAGTTCATCACTGACTTCACTGCCAGAGGTTTTGTAGTAGACAGTAGCCTCCTTTGCCACCCTGGTTTCTAAACAGTTATTTTCGGGTATGACTTCTGATAAGTAAGTATTTGCTAAAAGTCAGTCATTCTTACATTATCTTCAAGATTTTAGGCCCCATCTGAATTGTACCAGTACTGGTATTGTATTTACTTATCATTCTTCTTAAATTAACATTTTTGTTATAATTAATTTTTGCAATAACTGGAATTGAAGCCATGGGTACTTTACCTCTGAGCTACATCTCTTGTCGTTTATATTTTATTTTAGTTTTAATTCTGAGACATCCTAAGTTTCTCAGACTGACACCAAACTTGTGATCCTTTTGCCTCAGCCTCCTGAACTAGCTAGCATTAGAGGAAACTTTACAGCACTAGTGTAAACATAAAATTAATTTTATTTCTAATGCATATAAGCAAATCAACAGGTGGTTGGTTATTAAGCTTGAAATCCATGCTGTTGAGGCTGGGAGTATAGCTCAGTGGTATATAGTACATGCCAAGGTCCCGGCTTCAAATATCACCAAAACAAAACAAAATAACCCCCACAAGACACAAAACAACAACTAAAAAAATGCCAATATTCTCTGAATTGCCCAGTCATTTGGTACACACTAGAGGTTCAAAGACCACACTGTTACCTTTAGAGAAAAAGATTGATTGAAACAAAAGACAATATCCATTACTTATTAGCATTGTCCAAAGAATGGTATCACTGTTTAATAGCTGCAAAGTTCCTCTTTTACCTGAGGTAGCCAACTACTGAAACAGAACTTCATAACCAGAGGAGAAAAGTGAATGTTTACATGTTTAAAAAACCACCTGCTTCCACTGAGAGACTTCCACCACTTATAGGAAAAGAAGCAAACCTCATACAAAATTAAATCAAGTTTCTTTTTTTTCTTGGGCAGAGTGTCACTACACAGCTCAGACTCATAGTGTTCCTCCCATTCCCAGCCTCCCTAGTGCTTGGCTTACAGGTGTGCACCACAGACTCCATCACAGGCTCAGTGTGCCTGGAGGCGAGGCTGGTGTGGCATAGAATGCCAGTGATCAAACCCTGGCCCCTGCGCTTACCTAAGCAAGTGCTTAGTCCACTGAGCTATCTTGCTGGACCTAAAATCAATTTTCTTGACTGGAAGAAATTACTCCCATGTACATGTTTTAATTACAAGAATACAATTTCGCTGCACAAAGTTTATTTAGAAGGCTTGTCTCAAATACAAATACAACATTCATAAGACCAGCAATTGGAAATACCTATAGCTATAATGTAAGCTAGCTATTTTACCTACATGGTTACACACTTATTAAATATAAGATTAAACATATTAAACAAAGCTGAGCATGGTGGTGCATGTTTATAACCCTAGCACTCTGGAGACTGAGGCAGAATGATAGTAAGGTCAAGTCCAACTTGGACAACTTAGAAACTTAGGCCCTGACTCAAATTAAAAATAAAAGGGTTAGGGATGTAGCTTAGTGTGAAGACTGTTTAATCCCCAGTGCTAGAGGGAAAAAAAAACACATTGAATACTCCATCTCTTGGCAGAGTAGCACTATTTCCTGTAACAGAAATGATCACAAAACAAGTATTTTCTCCAGCCAGAAATTCTAAAGTTCTTCAGTCTTGAATCCATGATTTATTGTTTCAGGCTTCAAATTGTCCTGTTCTTTTCACAACTGTAGCATGGCATCCTCCTATCCTCTCACCTTTCCCTGAAACTGGCATGTTCATGGGAACATCACTGCGAAACATGCTCTGCAGTTAAAATTAGCCCAATTTAGCAGCACACAGGCCATGACTCCAAGTCACTATGAAGACAGACAACACAGGTAATGAGATTTGTAGGCTGCAATTATGACAGACAAGTCCACCTCTCTTCTGGAAAGCAGCAACTGTTTCTACGTATTCAGAGAGACAAAAATCACATATATGCAAACCTACCGCTTCTCATTATGCTGACTCCACAATTTCCCTTCTCAAATTTTACTCCTTCATACTTGTACCCTGTTAGGAAATAAAATCAAAGAATTTATTTTTCATTATTGGAACAACCCAGTTATTCTGTGAAGTCCCTATAGTTTAAAGCAGATGACTACAAAGCAACCTTTGTCCAGAGACATTGTATATCACCTTAGATTGCCTGTGAAAGTAATGGGATGAGTCATGACTTCTCACAGTTACTTCTTTATTTTTCCTAAGAAAGCTTTTGGGATAATTGGGATTAGCAGCTTCATCAAATTGGAGTAAGACTTACTATATGATAATATTCATATATGTATTCCTCAAATTCAAAGGAGAATCATCACATTCTTAGAATACTATATACCTTATCAGTTCAAACTGGGACACCACTGAAAGCCAAAGTAGAAATCCTCCTTGAGCCATACCTTTTTATGAGCTTTCCCTCTGCCTTAAAAAAGTAGAAGAGGCCAAAATAAATATCAAGCTAGTCAACTCCTTGGTTTAATCCTGAGCTGGTGTCAATTATGATGTAAAAAGCCTGGCCCCTAAGCTTTCATTATTTACTAAAGAACCAAATCAGAATTTTAAATCCCTGAGACAAGGGTTCTTTGATTATTTTCTATTAGAACAAAGCATCTTCTCTTCTCAACATTTTCATTGTTTTTCTTTTTTACTTCTCATCCTTTTGTTTTTATAACCTGGAGTTTCAATGTCAAATCAGCCACCCCCATTTGTTAACACCAACAACTACCCAACAGAGGTGAAGATAGCTGACACCAATTCTTAACTCTGGTCCTGTAGGCTATCATCAAAGGCAACAATGACACACTAAAGAATATTCATTAATCTTTAACTTGAGTTGACAAGCAAGTATAGGCACAGATTTCTTTCCTAAATGTCTCAAGAACTATAAACTGCTTTTTATCTGTTGTACATAATAATTACATTCATCTTGAGGAATTAGAACATGTACATATCACATATTAGCCACTTTTCCATTTATCCTTCCAATCCTCCTCGTTTTCCCTTTTCTCAAGCCCTTTTTCCATTCCTACCAAGTCTACCTCCCTATTTCCTAGAGTTATTAAAAGATGTTTAAAAGAACAGCTCCACATAGACTCCTAATTTGGTATAGTGATATACTCAGATTGATTTCTCTCCATTTTCCCCCATTCAACTCAGACTTTTTCATGAGGAAAGTTTGAGAGCAACAGTCTTGGTTACCTGTTGGAGTTGTCACCATGCATTCTTTATATGGCAGCTGATTCAATCCCTCTTCTACAACAAGTCTGATCTAAAGAGTCAAAGGAAGAATAAAATGAGGACCTGCTGAGAATCTTCTGCAAGCTTTTGAGCCTCGGGAGCCGAACAGTAGACAAAGTCAATCACATCCTAAGCAAGCATTAGCTTATGGGGATAAGAAGGAGGCCCCTATGTATATTAGATGCACGAATAGATCAAATGCCAGGCTGCTTCCATCTAGGCATCTGTCTCTGTTACTTTTCTCTCATTGCTGGCACAAAATACCTGACATCCAAATTTAAGGAAGGAAAGGTTTATTTAGCTCACAGTTTATGGAGGTTTCTGTCTGGCTCCAAGGCAAAGTGGCACATAGCAGAGGGCAGCAGTCCATGGTGGTGGAAAATAGCAAAACAGCAAGAGCAGAAGGGAGGAGCAGTAGCAGCAGCAGAGAATGGGTCTTCCTCCCTTCCTTATACTGCACTGTGCATATGTAACACTCACACTCATAATCCCAACAGCACTTACTCATAATCCCAGCACCAGATCATGAGTGAATCACAGACTCTAGGAGTCTGCCCTATGACTGCATGAGGCTCTGGAAGAACAACTAGACACAAACCACACCAGCATCCAATCTCCATTAAATACGTGATTGACACTAAAGGGCTCAAGGATGCCCTCTGATTGCCATTCAATTAATTCAAGCCAGGAGAGATTCAAAAGCCCAACAAATGGATTTCTGCTGATCTATTGAAAGGAATAGTTAATGTTTAAAATATTTTTGTTTTTCTTTTCAATTTGTTGTAACTTTTTAAACCAATTTTATATGTTTATATCTGGTAATCTAAACCACTAATTTGAGGATAACATTATGCAATACAACAACCATTGTCAAATTAAAAAAAAATTCTTTAGCAAGTGTCAAGACTCACGGAAGGCACCCTTGGCAGTAATATACTTCGGATCACTCTGAAAATAGTGCACACTGGGACTTTCTCTGCCTCATTCAGAATTTTTGAATCATTAATGCGAATTCTTTTAACAAAAGGCTACCAAAATTCAAATGAAGCCTGAAAATTCTTGTCAGAAAATAAATGAGCGGTGAGGCTGAATGAATTTGCTAAGCCTGAAAGAAGAACCTGTAAGATGTACTGGGGTCTCTCAGCTAAAGAAAAGGCTTTTAATAACCATATATGATACAAAGAAAAGAATCACATGGTACTACTGGCAATAACCTCCTCAAACTAGATATGCCATTCCTATGAGTGATCAAAAGCTGACTCCCACAAAAGCAGTGTAGAGCCTATAATACACATTTTCTCCAATAAATCTTATATTACTAATTGAGAATCAGGAACAACAGGGAGATGTACTAGGTTCCATGTTCTGTGATCACAACACAACACCCTAGTGCCATTAAAATGATCAATTATAAACAGGCCAGTATTTTGCCACCCTGCAGAATCAGAGAAAGAAACGAAAAACTCTCATGAACACTATATGCATATGCACATTCACCTGTAGCTGCCACCTTTTGTTATATTTTTAACGACAAAATTACAAGGTAAAAGAAAATGAACAGCATGACCACTTTCTCCTTATAACACTCTTCCAAAAAATCTTATCTCTTGCCCCACCCCCTGTATCCCTGGGACAGAAATTAGGGTGTTCAAGTCTTACCAGAAAGCATAAAACCAGAGGAAGAATAACTACAATATAAGGAGGATGAAGGAATATATCTAAAGTCATGCTTAAAATGGTCAAGGTCTGGGGTCCAATTCCCAGCATCTATAAATAAACATAAATAAATTAAAACTCAGGGATGTGAAGCCAATGGAAGCGCACCATGACAAATTCAGGGTAGAATTAATGTCCATTATAATGGGACCCTCATGCTATAGCACAAGTCCTTAACAATAGAAGCATAAACAGTTAGAACCCCTATGAAAACCGCAGCTAACTCTTCATCCTTAAATCAGGTCCTTCAAAGCCAACTGCACAAAACTGAGAAGTCCAAATTAGTGGCCCTTCAGATAAATTACATAATAGATCCTTATCTCATTCAACTTAGGTATAATGTCTGCCACTTCAGGGAAGAATTTTACATTAACTACGAACTTAACTACTACTTCCCAAAGAAATGAGCACATGTGCCCATCACGGTTGTTCGTACCTGTAGTTCCAACTACTCTAGAGGCTAAGGCAGAAGGAATACTTAGCCCAGAAGTTTGAGACCAGCCTAGGCAACATATCAAGACCCAGTCTCAAATTTAAAAATAGAACAAAAAAAATAGAAAAGGAAAAAGAGAATACAAAGAAAGCAAAGGAAAGAGGAATCATTTTCTAGCAATGAACACAAAGAGTCTTATTAAGACACAAATTTCTGGGCTGGGGAGATAGATCAGCAGTCTAAGTACCCACCTGGCAAGTGCAAAGACCTGGGTTCAGTCTCTGGTACCACATGCCACACTGGCCCAGAAACCCTGGCACACTGTGCCAACCACTGAAACTAGGCATTGTGGCATACACCTGAAATCCTAGCCCTAGGGTGGCTGAAATAGGAGGATCACTATGAGTCCAACCTATGTAGGGAGACCCTGTACCAAATAATAAATAAAAGATTTAAAAAAATGCTTTTTAAAAAAAAGACAAAAATTTCTTCCTCCTAAAATCTGTCCTTTTGATTTGATGAAAGTTCAAAGGACAAAATGACCTACTATTGTCCCAGGAATGTCAACCATATTTATCTTGGTGTTATCAACCTCATTACTACTCATTTTAAATATAATTCATCTCTGGACTAAGAGTAGTTAAAATTAAAAGCAGATCAGAAGTTGTCTACTCTTGGAAAACTCTCTAGGAAAAATTCAAGGCACTAAGCACACTTCTGTAACACAGTGGTTACTCTAAAGACAAGCTAATTTAGCCTAAGAACATCTCAGATGACATTAGCTAAACAGAGTAGGGTGTGCTCAATCCTTTACAGGAAGTTCCTGAAGAAAATCCAAATGGTCCAACTTACCATTTCATGTGTGAGTATAATACAGAATAGAGACAGAATAAATACTACTTCTTTATAAATTACAAAATGCCAGTTTTTGTGAATTAGCTAGATACAATGGAAACTACTTGATTCCTTACATCTTTGGTTTTCTTCTAATGTACTTCATTTTAGTGCCCTAAAAGAGCAGTAAAATGAAATAATGTAAGAACTGCTGAAAGAATCAGGTATCAAGCTCAGTGGCACAGCATGGCAAGTGTGAGGTCCTAGGTTTGATTCTTCTCACGTCCCTCCCAATAAAAGACTTGTCGAAAAACCAGATTACCAAGATCCATCTGAGAACGAGTAGTACCTGACAACTACAGAAAATGAGCTTATGGGCAGTGCTTGGAGGTGAAAGAAAATGAAGCAGAGATTTAAGGCAATAGTAGCAAAGGTTAGCAATATGATGTTTTCCCAACCCCATGCTCTTAAAAAAATCAACAAAATAAAACTTGGCCTACCATGATTATATCATTAGGTATAACAATGCAATGAAAATGAAAAAAAAAAAAAAAAAGAAATGAAAATGAAAAGTCTCTACCTACCAAGCGATCCGCAGAAAACATGAAGTCCCCTCTACTGGCTGTCCTAAAAAAAATAGAAAAGTTTTAGTCTACATTTGAGCTTTAAGGTAAAATAATCCTTATTACAGGTAGTAACACCGATATTAAGACCTTTACAAACTAAAAGCTTAAATATTTATGCATACAGACAATTACAAGACCAAAATACTTTTTTACTAGAATATAGGTACCAAAATGAGATGACTTGATAAATATTATTGAAAGTTTTTGCTTGATATCAGCATTAGGATTAGAATTGATAAGATCATATAATCCCCCACTGAGCTGCTGGAGTACATGTTATTTAATCAGGAGATGAACAAGGTTCTCACAGAGCATCAGAGCATGCTCACAGTACAAATTCAGAGGAAATTCTATGGCAAGAAAATCAGGTTCTCCCCACTCTGCTGTTTAATCTGCTTTCATCTAAACCCTATATTATAGAGATAAATAACCCAAGTTCTTTGTGTCTAATCCTATATAATAAAAAACTTTTAAAAATTACAATGGCAAAAGCATATAAGTACTTTTGCCACTGCTCTCAAATTTAACCTAATTTTTAAGATCTATTTTTAAAATAGTTATCATTTCTCCCTTTTGCCTGTTTTCCAAACTTTTTCTTCATTTCCTAGATCTTTCTGCCATTTTCATGAATGCATTTCCTTTTGCTTAACACCTTCATATCCTGAAGTGCATACAAAATAATATTCCAAGGTTCAATCTACTCACAAGCTGTTAACAAGCCAAAAAAGAAATGCTAAATGATTAATGTTCTTTTTGTTTGTAAAAATCTAGTTGTCATTCCTACCCCTTCTCCCATGCATGGTAAATGGTTTGAGAAAATTGATTTAGTGCTTATGTACTTAAAAGTCCCCACCTGCCTATCCAATATGTACCTAAAGTATTTCTGAAAGCAACATCAAAACGGCATATGCCAATACGTATTATCTCAGTATACCATTAATTGTCTCTTGTTTTCCAAGCTGCATTCACCTTCTCTGACAAAAGAAAGCAATGAAATATTTCTGATACAAATGTCATTAGGATTCTTAGAGTAACCACAGGTCTAGCTTATTACAGATTTCACTCTAAAATATGGAATACAAAGGGAAGAAAATGGGTCTGTATTTTTATTTATTCATTTTTAAGTATTCCATATATAACTACACACAGTTATATACACACAGTGAACATATTTAAAATAAGTTATATTCCATGTAGTATGGTTTTCAACTGAGAGTATTCTACCAGAATTCTTTCATTTCTACAATGTTCGTAACATGCTCGGCAAGGAAGTAAAAAGAAACTACCAAAAACACTGAAACCAATGCACATCATTGGTCCCTCTTTCAAAAATGACATAGCTAAAGGTGCTTAGAGTTGTTTCCTCGTCCTCTCTATTCTATTGTGTGATTCAACATGTCTTATGGAAGCACCATGCTGCTTTACTTATTGTAGTTTTCAGGTGTAGTTTGAAGTCTGGGATTATAATGTTTCCTACTTTGCTCTTTCAGGATTGCTTTTGCTATTCTGGCTCTCTTATAGTTCCATATATACTTGTAAATTGTTTTTTTCTAGTTATGCAAAAATAGCGTTGATGTTATTTTGATGGAATAAAATTGAATCTATATATCGTTTTTATAATATGGCCACTTTGAGAATATTGGTTCTGCTTAAAATGTCTTTCCATCTTCTAATGTTCTCTTCAATTTCATTTTTCAGAGCACAAAAATTTTCATTATAAAGGTCTTTCACTTTCTGAGGTGATATTTTTTTCTTTTTTGTTTGTTCTTCTTTACGCATTTAGTACAGGGTCTCACTATGCATCTTGGAGTCACAGTGATCCTCCTGTTTTCAGCCTCCCCCAGCGCTGGGATTACAGGCACACACCACCATGCTGTGTCTCTGTGGCCAACTCAGCACACCCGAGAGCGGGGCTGCAGGGGCATGGGGTGCGCAGGGTTGAACCTGGGTCCCTGCGCCCTGGCCTAAGTAGGCACTTAGTCCACTGAGCTATCTCACCGCACCATCTTTCACTTTCTTGATTAGATTATTTCCTAGGTATTTATTTTATGGATTTAGTACAGGGTCTACAGGGTCTCACTAAACAGACTGGACTCGTAGTGATCCTCCTGTTTTCAGCCTCCCAAGTCCTGGGATTACAGGCATGCACCACCACGCCCAGTCTCATTTACTGTCTCAGCCCACCCCGGGTGTGGGGCTGGCACAGCACGCTGGGGTATCGAACCCCTGGCCCCTGTGTCTGCCTAAGCAGGCGCTTTAACCTTTGGAGCTATCTGGCTAGCCAGTACTTAATATTTTCGAAGCCTTTGTGAATGTCATCATTTTCCTGATTTCCTTGTTAGTGAATTCACTCTTGGTGTATGGTAATGCTATTGATTTTCATGTGTTGATTGCATATACTGTCATTTTGTTGCATTTAATAGTACTAAAAATCTTACTGAGTTTTTGGATCTTTATAAAAGATCATGCCATCTGCAAATAAGGATAGTCAGATATTTTTTTCCTTGCCTCTTAACCTCTTTATTTTTTTCCATTTGCCTGACTGCTTAGGCTGAAGTTTCAAGTACCACACTGAAAATGTTGCTTGTAAAGCTGATTATCCAGGTACAGAATGGCAATAGATCCATATCTCTCACCATGAAGGAAAACCAAATCTAAATGGACAAAAGACTTACATAGGAAAATAGAAACACTGAATCTGCTGGATGAAAAAATTGATAACACTCCTAGAAATATAGGCATAGTCAAGGACTTCCTGAAAAGAACCCTTGCCTGTATAAAATAAAATACCAAGAATCAAAACATTGGATTATATCAAATTATAAAGCTTCTGCACTATAAAATAAAAACATAGTAGAGTGAAGAAACAACCTATAAAGTGGGGAAAATATTTACCAGTTACTCTGTAGACAGACAACTAATATCTAGAACAGCGATGATGAAACTTTCAGAGCTTTTAGTCAGCTGTGCCACTTATGCCATAGGCTCACCACCACAGATATAGAACCTACAAAGATGTCAAAAAAGTTAAACTCCCCCAGTAAAAGACCCAATTAAAAAAATGGGCACCTGAAATGAATAGACATTTCTCATAGGAAGCACAAATAGCCAACAAGTACATGAAAAAAAAATTTCAGCAGCATTGGGCATTAGAAAAATCAAATTAAAAAAAACTCTGATATTCTCTCTTACTCCAGTAACAAGGCCTATTATCAAGGACATAAAAGAGTATCAAATGTTGGCAAGGTTATGGGGACAAAAAGAACCCTTTTACATTGTTGATAGGAATATAAACTAGTATAAGTACTATGGAGATCAACATGTAGATTCCTCAAAACAATAATAATAAAAATAAAAAAGAAATTTTCTTTGACTCAGCTATCTATTCTATCTATTTTCCTTAAATAGTAAAACCATCATACTACAGTCACATTACACCCATGTTCATGGCACTGCGATTCACAATAGCTATATTATAGAAGTAGCTTATAATAGATACACAATGGCTTACTACTGAATTATAAAGAATGATAAATTTGAGTCACTTGTAGGTGAATGGATGAAACTTAAGACTACAATGGTACATGAAATAAATCAGACATAGAAGCTTCAATATTCCAGTTGTGAATATTTAAGGTGTGGTTTGTCTAATACAAGGAACCTCAAGTATAAATGATACAAAGGGCAAAATAAAAGAGATATGGTAGGAAACAGAAAGGACTATGCAGATGAAAAGCAATCTGCAAAGTGAGAAAAGGAGATAAAACGAGAGTAAAATGATTAATATGTAATTTGTACACTAACAATTCCCCAAGATAAATGTCATTATTATGTACTGCAAACACATATTAAAAAATACTGAAGTCTATTGTCCTCTGTGCTAAACCTACACAAATCTGTCTAGGCATCACATGGTTTTATCAATGGGAAAGAAAAGTCAAGATTTATATTAAAGAAATATCCCATGATATTGAAGCAGTTCACAGGCTTTTCTGTGATGAGCATTTTGGTTTTGTACAGCTCAAGGGAAGGGTTCTGAGGTTTCTCTTATCTCAGGGTGATAACAGACGGGTTCCATAGATTGGCTTCGTTGTGTGTGGAATCCCTGGCTCTACCTATAATCCAAACAGAAGCCAGGGAATCATCACACAGTACAGAATAAGTGGCCCAGCCTCAGCACAGCATAAGCATCTGTAAAACTACAAATTGGTTACACTCAAGACAGTACAAACAACCTCCAAGGATGAGGGCCAAGAATATGCTTTTAAGAAAAAAAAAAAAAACTCCACTAGCAATTCTGATGCAAAGCTTTGGTTAAAAGCATTACACTGCTGTAGTTTGGCCCTGGGGTTGCAGGCAGAATGGTAGTCAGCTGCCAGCTTTAAGTACTATTTTTTGAAAAAGTGCTGAAATAGCAGGAGTTCATTCAGAGACCATTTGTGTACCACAAGAAACAAAAGTGTTGCAGCTGTAGAAAGAGAAAGAATCTCAACTTTGATTGGTTGATATTAAAATTCAGGTGACATTTTCTCTCTAGTAAGAGTATGTCAAGCTGGGAGATCAGCTCCTCCACTTCAGCCAGGAGATGAAATTGCCATTATTACCCCCATTAATGGAGGATAATGCTTTTCAGCCATGTAGGAAAAATACTAATGAAGTTGAAGAGAAATCTAAAGACATAATAAAATGTAATGCTGAGAAACTTTCAGTAGATAAAGTCTCACAGTTGGTGATTCTCCAATATGTGGTGCAGTGTCCTTATTTGTAGGGACTGTAAGAAATAAATTTAAAGGGAAAAGAAGTCATTAGTTTAGCATACGAAGCATACGTACTAGTGGCAAAAAACGAAATCAGAAACATTTGTAGTGACATTAGGGAGAAAAAGCTAGTAAAACACATAGCAATGGTCCATAGGCGGCTTGGCTGCAGTGTCAGGGCAAGTATAGTTATAGCTGTGCCCTCATTCCACAGGGCTGCATTTCCAGTAGCGTGAGCTATGCC